AAACAATATACAGTCAGTAATACACATAAATATTTTAGTATAAATTTTAATGTTAAGTTTAATACATGTCGATATAATTGTTGGTATTAAGTATGAGGTGTTTTAATTTATTTTTCAAGTTGGCAGCATTATTTAATATTTTAAGTTCTATATTTTTGGATATGATTTTGTTATATAGGTACGGACCCCGGTAGGAAATAGAAAACCGTGAGAACTTTGTTGTTCTTTAGGGTAGTGTGAAGTTGCCTGTTGCTCTTGTCATATACCTATTAGAGTTTACTTGAAAGAAGTTATCTTAAAAATACGATGGGACTAGTCCAAATTTGTATTTAAGCACAAATAGAACATTTTGGTAGATGTTGATTTGATAAACATTTAGTGCATTCAAGGTTTTTAGTAAGGGTTCAGTGTGGGTGAGTTTATCTTTATTATAAACTAATCTTGATGGATGGGTTTGACTTATGTAAATAGTACTCAATTTGGATTTGTGTGTACTTGCCCATGCAATGTTAGCGTATGTAAGATAACTTTGGATGTAAGAAAAATAAAGCGATTTAAGATTATATTGGGATAACATAGGTTTAACTTTGAAGAAAACTATAATGTTTTTCCATTATTTTTTGAAATTTTGGTGTTTATTGAACTTATATAGGCTCTCCAAGATATATTTTCGTCAATTAGTATCAAGAAATTTAGTTGTTTCTGTTCTTTCGATGTTTACCTTATCTATTTTTAGTGAGGGAAGGGTAGTTGGTATATTATTTCTTTGTTTTTTGGAATGAAACAATATGTATTTTGTTTTTTGTGTATTTAGTGATAACTTATTTAATTTCAACCATAAATTTAATCTTTTAAGCTCTTTGTTCATACATTCATAAAGGTCTTTGATTGAGTTCGATGAATAAAATAAGTTTGTATCATCGGCAACCATGATTACATCAAGTTTTTTTGAGACTTTTGTAAGGTCATTAATATTTAGAAGAAACAGAAGAGGTCCAAGAATGGAACCTTTGGGAACACCGCACTCAACTGTTAATAGTTTTGAGTGTCTATAATTATCTGAAAAAACACACTGTTGTCTGTTACTTAGTTAGTTTTTGAACCAGTCAAGGGTTATGTTTTTTATCCCATAGCTTTCCATTTTATTAAGTAAGATATTATGATTTACAGTATCAAACGCTTTTGACAGGTCTATAAAGATGCCTAGAACATACTATTTTTTATCAAAAGAATCACTTATGTTGTTAACTAGATCAAAGATTGCGTGTTTAGTTAAATATTGTTTTTGGAAACCAAATTGCTTTTTATTTAGGATTCTATTTTGGATTAAATACTCATACAATCTGTTATAGATTATTCTTTCGAGAAACTTAGAAAATGTATAGAGTACTGAGATAGGTCTATAGTTATTAATTAAGTATGATTCACCTGTTTTAAATATTGGTACTAATTTAGCTACTTTTAACTTGTCCGGTACAACTCCTGTTTTAATCGAAGACTTAAAAATTTCAAATATAGGTTTATTTATCGCTGTAAAGATATTTGCCACCACCCTACTACAGATATTATCTATACCTGGAGTTTTATTTAATTTTAAGGAATTTAGTGCAACATTAAGTTCTTGGTAGTTTAGTTCTTTATATTTTAGTTCGCTCTGGATATCACTTAGGTATGATATAAATGAATTATTAGGAGACTTAATTTTTGAGGCAAGGTTAGGGCCAATATTAACAAAAAATTCGTTGAATCTTTCAGCAATCGTGTTTTTGTCACTGTACTTTTTATTGTCCATGATGATTTGAGCAGGTAAACTATTTGATTTAACTTTTTTGTTCCCAATTATTTCTTTTATCGTATTCCATGTTTTTTTAATGTCACCAGTTGCATTTTTTATTTGGTTAGAGTAGTAATTTTTCTTCGAACTTTTTTTTTATTTTTTCAAATAAATTTTTGTATTGTTTGTCACTGCCGATAGTGAGTCTTTAAACAGTTGAATAGTAAAGTTAATAATTTTTCGTTTAATGACTTTGATTTTAGAGTCATTATTTTTTGTATCTTGAAAAAAGGAAAAGTATATCGGAAAGATATATCCGTTTGATCGGATATATCCGTTTTGATTACACCTGTTTTTAATTAAGAATCATAAAATTAATTAGTTAAAATGCTGTCTATTGCAGTGATTGAATTTAATGTTACCCGGGTTGGTTTGTTTATTATAGGAAAGACGTAGTGTTGAAACATATCGTCAAAAAAAATGCAATCATCCAACGACGTAACGCGTGTTCGTTTTGTGTTAAGCCAATAACACCACCATAAGCTTTAACTGTAGCGTTGTACTGTTCATGGCTTTGATCAATAGCCATTGCTAACAATTTTCGTATATTTTTAACTATAAATTTGTCCGCATTAAATGCAGCTACTCTCGATTCCTTAATACAAGGGGTGGGGTGGGGGGTGGTAGGGAATTTTAAAACAGATTTGATAAACGAAGGAGGGGGAGGGGTGTTAATAAAAGGGGGGAGTGGGAATATTTTTATATTACAATATAAGTAATTTTAATAAAAATTTTTAGTTTATAAAACAAAATTAATATTTTTTACAAAACACACATAAAACTATTTAAATTTAGTGTGGTATGCGGTCAAATGCACATTTTCTAACAGCTGTTTTATAATAATTTCAATATGATTAAATAAGTTTTATACTTAGGAGAAAAGTAAATTAAAAGAACATTTTCGAAAAAATTGAAATTTACTTGGTTGGTAATTTTTAAAACCTGTTTACACTCAAAATTTTTGTTTTTATTAGTGACTGAAATGAATATTTTATAGTTTTTAAGGCCGAATTTCACGTGGGGTGGGGGTGGGTGGGGTGGGGGGGTTAATAAGCTTGGCTTGGGTAGGGAAATTTTTCGAAAATTAATAAACGTCCTCCCCCTTGTATTAGGAACTCAAGAGTAACTTTGATGGACTATTTTGCAAAAGACAAACCATGTCTCGAATGTTCACAGATAACCATCGAGCATAGTGAGTTCAATCAAGTGAAAAAAACCATGGCACTAGTTTTGTCAAGCTATCTAAGTATAGATCAAAGTTTGAAGTGCGCAGAGACCTTTTACAACGTAAACAGAATAAGCTGCATTTCTTTAACTGTACTCCAATAAACAAACTGTGGATGAACCATTTGCTTTACGCACCAGCTAATGAAAGGCAACGGTTGAACACCATCATCGAGCAAACTACAATACGACTCGTATCCCTTATATTTTAGTATATTATTTAGCAAAAACAGAACTTACATGTACATATTGACAACGTTTTACATGGGATGCAGACAAGAGAGCTTTAGCGGTACCTGATGTTACAATTCCAGCTGCAATAACAGCCTCGACCCAGTCACTTCCCTTTTATAGTAAAAAACTACCAAGTGCTTTAAGATAAGCCATTTCTATGTGCAGACCACCCAACATAACAACAAATTTTTCTTCTCCGTACAAATCAGGCCAGTTCCATTGAAGCATACTGTGGTTGATCAAACGGATTAACAGGGATCTGTTCAGGATAAATATGATGGGTAAAATTTTTTATTACATCTATTGAGTATCGGATTATAACAACGCTATTGGAAGAATCCTGAAATAGTTGCAACAATGAAACTACTGATAAATTTATATTTGGATTGGTAATCTTATTGGCATGGTATACGGACCATGAAAGCCATTTCTCTGATTGCAAATTTTTATTTGATTCATCGGTATCGTGAACCTGTCTAACAGTTTCAAGCCACAACTACTCTTTTGAGCTCTTGTTTCCACACAGCACTTCTACCAGTAAACCAAAGTTGATTTTCTTAAATCAATGAACATTGATCGCCTGAATGAACTATGCTCAACGTTACTCTCGAGTGCCGAATACAACGGGGGGTGGGAATAAACGGGTGGGTGGGAACTTTAGTCATAATCTAATAAACGGAAGGGAGGGGGGGGGGGTTAATAAAAGGGGGAAGGGGGTCGGAGATTTTTCTGAAATTTAATAAACAAGGGGGGGGGGGGGGGGAAGGGGGTATGTTCAATGCCCCCCGTTTATTCTGCATGCAAATTATGCATGTTCAAGTCAAATGCGCATTTGACTGCAATTGCAGTCAAAAGCGCATTTTCTAACAGCTATTAGGGTAGGGTTAGGTTTTATCATAATTGAATAGGATTTAATATGCTGATGTAAGTTTTATACTTTGCAAAGTATAATACTTCTATTCAGCATATTAAATCCTATAATTAAAACCAAAGCTTTGTTGAGAATAAACTAAAAATTTATTTTTTAGCAAATCGAGATTTAATAGGTCGACAATTTGTAAAACCTGTTTACACTGAAAGTTTTGGTTTTTATCGGTGACTGAAAATTATTTTCAAACTTTAAAGGCCGATTTTCACTGAATTTTTTTTTACTTTTGAGATATATAATTTTTTTGTTAATAACAAGTAAAAATTAATAAACGGGTAGGGGAGTAGGGAGGGGGGTCTTAATAAGCTTAGGGTGGGTGGGAAAAATATCCAAAAATTAATAAACGGTAGGGGGGGGGGGGGATACTAGTTGATCTTGAAACTAAACATCCTCGATCGTATCTCACGTACGAATCGAGGCCGTTTAGTATCAAGATCACCTAGTATCTTTTATTGAAAAAATTTATTATTTGTTTTATTATTTTTATTAACTATTTGCTACATATACATCGAATTTTCTTAATAAAAAATCAAATTAGCCATTCCTGTATTTATTATTTTTTCCAGTAAATTTCAAGTTACTTGAAACAAAGTTGTCAGTCACATGAGGAAAACAGAACCTGTGATTCTCAAGTGACTAACAACATCACAAGGATAGCTTTTATAACAATTTAAAAAAAACAAAAAAGATGACTACAGCTACTAGCTGAAGTCATCTTTTTTGTTTTTTTAATTTGTTGTAAATATGTTGACAAAGTATATGACAACAACAACAACAAAATTACCTATCATAAAGGTTTTAATACTAACAAGGATACACAGGGTACAGTTACTGCTATAAACAAAAAATATATGAAATTGATGACAATCCGAAGAGAAAGATAAAAAAGATACTCATAAATAAAAGAAATTTGATTTTAATTAAAATTGTTTACTATCACATTTACAACCAAACATCAATACAATAAAAAAGAAAATGTAATCGAAAATAATCGAGCAATTTTGATTCGTAAAATTTCATATTAGAACAAAATATAATTTATGTAAATTAAGCCTATTATATAAGGTGAGCCGTGTAAAACTTAGTTCTACACAAATTGTTAATTCAATGATAGCAAAGTTAGGTGTAGTCTAGCTTTAACGATTGAAACAAAGGTAAAAAATGACTAACTGAATCCTTTCTAGTAAGAATTTATGCTAAATCATAGTTTAAGTTTACTTCATAAGAGCTGATCATTTTTCTTGAACTTCGGTTTTATCGATTAGTAAAATTTTAACAAAACAAAAGCGTGCTTGAAAACTGTTTCATCACACAGAACAGTTTATATAATAGGTTTAAGCTATCTTAATTTCAAAACATCGTACTGCCATTTACTTTTTGATTTATTCTATCAAAATAAAATAAAAAATAAAATAATAAAAATCGATCACGATTTAATGTAGAACGGACCGAACTTCTTCATATAATTTCTTATATAGTCTTTGACTTTAATTTTTACAGAATCATTGCAGACAAGCAGTTCCTCGTTTTTAATTCTTTGAATTTCTTTCATTATGAGACCGTGAGTAAGCTAAAATTAAACATATTAGATTAGTAAGGAATAAAATAAAATTTTTTTTAGTAGTAGGGGACCGGTAAGACTTCGGACACGGAGATGGACACTTAGAAATCTCCTACCCGGCTAACATTAGTACAATGATGTCTATGGTCGATATGCTGGTAGTCATGCGCTCTTAGCTTAAAAATAGTTAGGTGACAGTTTCCCGCAAAAAAACAGATTTTAGAGTGAAAAATAATAATTTTTTGGTTCCTTGATGCAAAATTTTTAATTCCAAGAGAATCACTTAGATCCTAGTTATGAACTCTGTTAGAGTTGGTGCAATTTTTTTAGAACAAACGGTTATCTGTTGACGTTTGGGAATGTAAGTATTTGTTATCAATAAATGAAACAATAACATTTCCCTTGACTAGTAGACATTGGGCATTTTAGACATAGTCCAAATTTAAATGATTTTAAAATAACATTTTAATACCATAATTACATTTTAGTTTGATTCCGCACGAAAGAAATCTCGAGTGAATGTATATAAAAGCCATATCTTTATTGATTCACGTTAACCCACAGCAAATTCATTCTTATTTTAAAGCTGCACCACGGAAATCAAACTCTAATAATCGAGGACGACGTAAGAGCAGATCTATAATAGCCACAAAAGAAAAAGAGGCACTTACAGTTGCAAAAAAAGAAAGAATGGTAAAGCTTGCAAAAAATAAAGGCAGGAAAAAAATTATACAAGAAAAAACCTCATTAAAAAGCAATCCTTTAAGAATCATCGTCAGATGTATCAATAGACCAACAAATTTTAACAATAATAAATATAACCTAAGTACATATAACCTTGATGACAATGGATTTAATGACAGCAATGCTGATAATTTTGATATTGCATGATATGTCGTTTTAAAGATAGATTTCAAGTGCAATTTGGATGAATACTAATAGCAATAACTAATAAATGAAAAATAAACTATCATTGTTGAAATCCTCTATTTATTTATTAGATGCACATTATCTCCTCTATACATAACAGAAGTCACCCCGCATCCGGCGTATTTGACTAGCATTTTTTTAAAAGTTTTTAAACATTTAAAATTAAAAAATATAAAGAAAGTTAAAATGTTAAAATGATTTAAAAATATGTAACTTTGAAAAAATGCAACAGTTATTAAATAAACTGAAATCAAAAATATAAAGAAAGTTAAAATGTTAAAATGATTAAAAAATATGTAACTTTGAAAAAATGCAACAGTTATTAAATAAACTGAAATCAAAAGTCTCCCCGGTCTCCTCCATACAACTTTTTTTGAACTGATTTGATGTGTTTAAAACTCAATTACAAACAAAATCTTCTAGCATATATGTATCTAAGTATCTAAGTATCTAAGTATGTATGTATGTATGTATGTATGTATGTATGTATGTATGTATGTATGTATGTATGTATGTATGTATGTATGTATGTGTGTATGTATGTATGTATGTATGTATGTATGTATGTATGTATGTATGTATAGAGTAGATTAGGGTAATATGAAAACTTTGGTAACACGAGCATACTAAAAGATTTCTAAGATGTAAGCAGTAAAGTTATAGTTGCTTTGCATTTTTTGAGCCTACCTAATGTAGTGATATAAGGAATCAGTATAATTAGCGGAAATTTATATAGTTCTCTCATCTGATTAAAACACTTTACAATTTTTTGTTTTGCTTAAATATTATCATTAAACATTAAAAACCTGAGGCACGAAATTGTGATGCTGAAATAGCAATAAAAATTTTTCTTTTGAAAAAATATTTATTTTTTCATAAAGAAAAATATATTACCTAGAAATCCGCTTCATTTTTGTTTGGAAAACAATGCATAAAAACATTTATTTTTTGGCTTCATTAGAAAATACCAATTTCGTGTAATTATGAGCATGCTCAAATTACTTGGTGTTTTTCTTCCTGCTGACAAGTTTCTCTTATGTAACATTGGATTCAAGTGCATGGAATCTTTTATTCCCTCTCAACAATTTTAAGTCAAGCCTCACTCCTCTCCATGGTTTTTTTCGCACCGTGCTGCTGCAATTTCCAATCCTAACCATTACTTCTATATCTATCGCCAATATATTTAAACATATATCTGTTTACTATTGCTAGAAACCATTGTAAAAAGGTTTTGTCTAACGACAAAGACCACTATTCTCAGGTCACAAAATCTTGTATTTAATCTCAAAAATGAGGCTCCAGAGACTTCTGGAGATTTTTTAACAGTGTCTATAACAAAGGAAAATCTGTTATTTCACCTCTCTTCCATGGTTCAGATTTTGTTACCTTACCTAAAGACAAAGCTGAATTGTTTGCTTAGAACTTTTCATCAATTTTATCTCTTGAATCCACTTATCACATCCTATCTGATATAGCCACCAATTTGTTGATCTATTGCTTGATATTTGTATCACTCCAGCTCATGCATCTAAATTGATTTTTTGCTCAGACTCTTCTACAGCTTGTGGTCCTGATAACATACCTGCTATAGTCTTGCAGAAGTGTTCAGCCAGAGCTGTCATCTATACTCAAAAAAAAAATTAAACTTTATTTAACAACTGCTTATCAGAGTCCTGTTTTCCAGCCTGTTGGAAAGCTGGAATGCTGCTTCTGTTATCCCTATTTTCAAAAATTCTGGAGAGAAAGTTTAGTTTCAAAATTCTATTTAAGAAACTAAACTATAACAAAAATAAAAATAACCTAATTTTAACTGCAAAGTATTTTATTATCTTTACTATGCTTTTTAACTCTTAATTTTGAAAATCTAATACTTTTGAGATCGTGTGGTTTTATTATATGTATATTTGATATTAAAAATACCTTTCTTGCAAGAAACTTAAAGTCATCTGCATTCTTTATTTTTCCTTGTTTGCAATCAGCTCTTTGATAGCTATTTAAGCAGGCCACAACTACGGCAGTAAGCTATGAATATAAAAATATAAACATAAAAAACCAAAAAGTCATTAACTTTTGACATTTCTAACAACAAATTTTATTACTTTATTTTTAAAATTTTCTTTAATCTTAGATGTTGAAGATTTTGATAAACGTGGATCTGGAGGTGTGCGTGGTCCTTGATGATGAGTAGTATCAGCAGCTGCTATGCGTGGCGAACGTTTTGAATGAGGACTTTCATCTACTGAATGCTAAAACATAAGCATGAAGATATCTACAAAATTTTTTTATTTTATTCATAATTTAAATATTTTAAATTTAACAGGTACCAATTTTCATTTTTTTTTGTGTGTGCAATTTTCATAATTTTTGTGCAAAATATTTATGGTTTAAAGCACAAAAGACATTTGTCTATCTTTCTTCACAACCCTACTTCTTGACATTTTGGCCTTAAACATTATTGAAAATAGTTAAAGGGATTCTAAACCTCTGACACATGTTGTATTCATATTAAAGAGAATGATAAAAAAAAAATGTTTGGGCGGATTAGTTTGGTTTGATTTGATTAAAACAAAAGAATAAATGCATGCCAAGAAAAACTATTTTTATTTTAGTCAAAGCTTGCCTTCTCCGTTATGTTGTAGGTCTAAAAGTCAGCATAATATACACTGCAATCTAAAGACTTTATTCAAGAATTTATTCTTGAATAAAGTCCAAGTTTATTCAAGAATTTATTCTTGAATAAAGTCCAAGTTTATTCAAGAATTTATTATTGAATAAAATTCAAGAATACAGAATTTATTCAAGCACGTTTTATTCCTAAGAGTTTCAGTACATGACATCATTGAATTTTTTGTTTGTTTACAGAATCAATCTTTTACGCAAACAAAAAAATCAATGACGTCATGTACTGGAACTCCTAGGAATAAAACGGAGAGCTTCAACTAAAATAAAAAAGTTAGTTTTTCTTGGCATGGATTTATTCTTTTGTTTTAATCAAAAAACTTTAGCCCAAACATTTTTTTTTATCATTCTCTTTAGTATGAACACAATATGTCTCGGAGGTTTGGGATCCTTTTAGTGAAATTAAAAATAAAATAAAAATTACAATTTTACTGGTCTTCTGAAATAATCTATAATTTGTTAATAAATCAAAGTGAATCTGAAATAATTAGTTAATAAATTGAAGATCTCAAACTTTAAAAACATGTTTTTTTTGAAACTATTTGTTATGGATAAGTGTCTTTTGTGCTTTAAACCATTGATATATGCTTTGAGACTTTTTTGTTACCAGGGACCCTACTGTATTATCGAAAACACATAAACTACATGAAGATAATGAATAGACACTATGAATTTTAAATACTTTTAAACAATTGTATTAACCATCAATTTTACTTTTTAACCAACCTAAAGTTTCCCAATAATAACCCAGCTGTCTGATCTTAAAACAAAAATAAGCCAGATGTTTGATCTTAAAACAAAAATAAGCTAGCTGTCTGATGTTAAAATAAAAGTAAGCCAGCTGTTTTATTTAAAAACAAAGCATGAAATTGAATTTTTACTTTTCTTTTATAAAAATAAAAAATAAAATTAAAAATTTTCTTTTTTCTTTTTGAAAATCTTTCCTTAAAATGTATTTTACACTTTACCTTTTTTTTATGCTTTTTGATAGATGGCGATTCTTTCCTATTATCTTCAGTTTTAACTATTGGTGGATCCCATGACGTTTCTCTATTAACCAAACATAGAATCAATTTATTAATGAATTTAAAAAAAAAGCTAAGAAAAAGATTATTTGATTTAAATGACAAAATAATCATCAACTCCATTCAATGGAGTTACAAAAAACAATTAGTTTCATGCTAAATCTGATGGAACGCTAGTAATTTTTTTAGAGAATTTTATAATAAACCAATTTGAACATTTGCGAACATGATTAAAAACATACCTTGTTATAGTGTGATAATAATAAACTCTTCCTTCAGCATCTGTAGCTGTTTTCCAATGAGGCGGAAGCTTTGGTTGATTAGGACTAGATGGATGATAAGGTGAATTAGAAGTTGAGTTACGAGTGAAATCTGGTGTACCTTGACAAGAAGCAACAAAGGTGATACATTTGAAATAATTACTCGAGTTAATCAAGTTTGAGGCTCCAGAGGAGCAACAAAAAAAAAAGTTCAATAACAAAAAAGTTAAACAACTATTATTTATTATAATGTCAACAGAAAAAAAAAACCTTGAGTAGAGCTACTTTGAGCATTTTTGAGTCTCTCAGCACTTAATAGCAATTGAAGTTGATTAACAACATTTAATGCTGTAACATCTTGAGCAGGAGAATCAAATTTAACTGGATTAGGATAAGAATATGTTGCATTACTTGGAACAACTGGTAAAGGATTATAAGGTTGTTGGTTTGAAATAGGCGAAATAAGTGGGGAATTATGCTGTGAAGACAACATAGGCTGATTTTGTTGATTTGTTATCATAACATTCATTCCTGTACCGATTCCTTGTATTTGATGAGGAAATATATTAGGTGGATGGGGTGGCACAAGCATATGAGTATGTATATTCTGATGAAGATTTTGCATTATTGGTGGCTGCAAACCAGTAAGCGATGGATACAAAGGAGGTCTGTTAATTATTTGAGAATTAAATGGATTACTCTAAAAAAAAAAAAAATTACACTTAAACAGATATCTAAAATCAATCAAAAATAAAAATAATTAACAAAATTATGACTTTTAAATTAAACTAATATAATAAAAAAAGGAAAATTATAGACATCATGTATTTATGATATTTGATTTAGATAACAGATGATGTATAAGTTTATTATATATATTTTTAAATATAAACATGAATCCATCATCTTATATCTCCATCATCATCTTAATCTTAACTTTGTTTTGACACATGCACACACGATTGTAAAAAAATTCAAATCAATTTCTTTTAGTTTTTAATTTGATCTAAGCAGTAAAGACTTGCTGTTGCTTAACAACCTCCCCTCAAAAAAACTTTTGAGCCAAATGTCTGTAAAAGTTTTAAATTAATCTTGCTTGTCACAAGGGTGGGTTAGGTTTCTTATCAACATAATTAACATTCGTTCAACAAATTTAAAGAATCTTTAGGGTAATAAGAACAAGGTAAATCTTGTTAAAATATAAGTTAAAGTTGTAATGATACTTGTAAATCTTGCTTAAAATAAAATAAGTTGAAGTTGTAATGATACTTGTAAATTAGAAATCGTATTTCTAAACATAAATAAACCTCTATCCTGTGGCATTTTTTTTCAAAATATTCACTAATTGTGGTGTTTTTTTCTTTTGAAAAAATTTAAAAAATAAAATTTTTACTGTTAAAATTTTATACATTTTTTTTATATCTTAGTAACATTATAACCAAAACTATCTTTGTATCTACCATAATTTATTTTTGTGGTTTATTTCTGAACTCTATAACACATGAAAAAAATGACATTTTTATTATACACCCATTTTGATAAAAATGTTTTGGTTGTCAAAAATACACCAAGACCCTTATCCACAATACTGTATTACTTTTAAAAACATTTAAAAAATGCCAATTTAAAACTAAACTGCTAAATTTTACTCTTGTAAGTAATTCTTTATATATACTTTCTTTATTCAAAATATTAAAATAAGAAAAACACCCTTAAAAAACAAACAAACAAATAAACTTTTAATGCAATATGTTCTTTCATATCAAAAAAAGAAAAACAATGCTAAACGTAATATTATGGGCACCACAGAGACTGTATGCCAACTGCTGTCAAAAACGAATATTATGGACATCACATATGGAAAAAATTGAGCACACAGTAATATTACAGTCACCACAGTAAAGGGGTTAATATAAGTTTATAAATTGCTACAGCCTTAGAGGTACAAAACACTTGCAAAATAAAAATATTTTTTAAGATCAATGACCAAATATGATTTTGTATTATAAAACTAGTTAACAAGTTTATAAATTTTCAATTGATTTATATTGAGATTTTCCAATTATCTCTGACTGGCCCCTTTTCAATTAATGGCAAGTTTCATTAGTTGCTTATAAAGTTGATTATATTATTATATTGATTATATTATTATTATATTGTTATTATATTATCTCTGACTGGCCCCTTTTCAATTAATGGCAAGTTTCATTAGTTGCTTATAAAGTTGATTATTTTCTCTAGTTCAGGATGTCAGACAACCATAGTTTTATTTAAAAAAGACTAACCAAGTCTGTTCCTTTTTTTTTTACTGTGGATTTAAAAAAAAAATTTAAAAAAAAAAACTTTTAAAGATATTTTCTTTTAAATGTTTTTGAAAAAATTCTTGTTCTAATTTTCTCATTAATGAAAATTTTTTCTTTGATGCCACAAACCTAACAATTATTTTAATTAAACCCAGTAAACATAAACCTAAAAAGTGTTTAACAGCAAACTTTATTATATATAAGGATTTGTTAAAAATGAACAGAAAAACTCATTAACTTACTGAAAGCATGGTCTGCTGTTGGTTTGGCCAGGTTTGATCATGTCCTCTCCAATTATTTTCATTAGGATATTGAAAATCGTGATCATTTGACCATTGTCTACTATGATCATCATTTCTATTATTCCAGTTTTGATATGTTTTAACTTGTCTATTCCTATTTTGCCAATGTTGTTTTTTATTGTCTTCATAACTAAATCGACGCTCTCGCTCATGTCTAGATCTCGGATCTCGTCTATCTTTAAAATCTTCAAAACTTCGAGAAGACCAACTTGTATCAATTAACTCATTTGTTGAATCACAGTCTCGATTATTATCACTTATTCGATTATTTTTATTATTTTGTCTGTCATTAAAATCTGGAGACTTTCTCCATCCTCTACGACCTGGCCTACGATCATCGGGAAGATCAAAACGTAATACTTCTTCATATGTTTCTTTAGAATAATCAACAGATGGATTTTTAGCAAATTTTGGAGAACTACAGGTACTGTCTGGATGAATTTGTTTATTACTAGTTACCTGAGAAACTGTAGATACACTTGAGCTATCCACTTTATTACAACTAAGAATATATACATACATACATATATACATACATATATACTAATATATTTTTCCATCACCACATTGATGTATATATATATATATATTTTATATATTATAAATTATATATATATATATATATATATATATATATATATATATATATATATATATATATATATATATATATATATATATATATATATATATATATATATATATATATATATATATATATATATTTATATATAATTTATATATAATTTATATATAATTTATATATATATATATATATATATATATATATATATATATATATATATATATATATATATATATAAATTGAACTTATATTATTATATAAAAAGTTACACATACAATTACTGGGTTACTTTTCACTAAAAAATACAACAAAATTAGTTTTAACTTGTATTATGACCAACAAAAAAAAAATTAGTAGTATGAAAGATACATAATAATGAGTTAAGTTTTGGTGGATGGAACTAGAGATGATAGCAGCAACCATAAAAGTATATTTAGAAAAGAGAGATACAATCTTTAAACGATGGGACAGAGGCTCAAACTATGGTCTAATTAAATTTACAATACATTTTTAGACTTTTGGTCTAGAAAAGAAAGAGTATCATTTAAAGAATCAATTTAAATATGACAACAATACTCCATACAGGGATGAATAACAAATTTTTAGAGGTAGAGAATGGAACCAGGAGTAAGGAAATATTAAGCACAATATAGAGAAACAATCTTAGCAGACGCTAACTTTGCAACGCATTATATATATAGGAGACATAAAGTAAAGACTCTCAGTTTTTATTCATCAATATAAGAATATCAACAATATTGTAATAAACAAAGTTTTGTTTGAGTTAAACATTACCAAGCCAAATAAAAAACCTTGTGGTATCACAGAATTTACTGAAAATGAAGAGTGTTGGTCTTTGAGGACAACTTTAACACTGCTGTTAGAAAGAAATGAGTTCATAAACAAAAAAACGTTTCCGGATTTTATCTAAAGCCTTATTTTATCATACTTATGGTGTTGGCACATAAACTATATTGTAATATATCTTATAATTAAAATTATTATATAATATATAATTATTTTTTTTCAACTATTATCATTTTTAGTTTCTAATTATGAAACAAAGCATGATTCTAAAAACATCAAATGAAATAAAATACATAAAATAAAATAGATTATATGCAAAAACTATAATAACTCAAAAATTCTAATTTAAAATGAAAACTGGAAGAAAAAAAAAAGCCTAAAACTAATATATATTTTTAAGGTTAGAAGCGTCTTAATTAATAGTTCAAACTTAATTAATTTAAAAGTGTTCCAACTAATAATTTAAAGCTAATCATTTTTCCATCACCACGTTGATGTAGCGCTTAGGTTGAATAACTGTGTCATTTATGAGACACAACTTTTATATTGGCATTGGAAGAGGTTTCAAATCCTGCTAACTGATAATTTTTGAATACGTCTTATTTGCTTTGTAGACATTTGTAAATATAAAGTTTCAAATTTTTAAATAATTAAGTTAACTCGGATTAAATAACTTTGAACACTTCGATTCTTTGCAGTAAAAAGTTAAGATTTTAATTTTTTTATTTTAGTTTTGTATTTATTTTTTTTTAGTTTTTATTTCTCTTTCCAGTTTATAGTTAGTTTATTTTTAATTTCAGCTTAGGTTTACATTTGTTTATTCTGCAGATTTTTTAAACACTCTATTTAAAACATGTAAAGATGCCGTGGATAATTTAACAAAACAAAATACTATATGCGTGGTCATATAAAGTGTGCGAAGGCTCGTGTAAGCTACATAAATATACTTAAGGTTATATATTTCCAGTATTTTTTAACCAATTATAAGTTAAATAACAAATAATTTGAAAACGCAAGAACAAAAAAGAGTATACAGAAAAAAAAGAAGAAAAAAAATACCGCAACTCCTCAGCATTTTCACTCGATCTACAATCCTAAATAACAAACAAAAAAATTTACAATATAATTGCAAAAACATTAATATTTCAAACATAACAAAAAAATATATCTTAAAAACAAAAGTTAGTCAAATATATTGTAATTGTTTAAAATTACAATATATTAAAATGCCCATCTAAAGCAGATTTAGCAAGCAACATAAGCCACTCATGCTGATAGTGCTTGTGTGGGGAATCAGCATTATTGCAAGATTTAATAAATAAGCTCATGGAGAAATGAAAATAAATGATCATGATAATTGATTACGATTAATTAATATTTTTGTTAGTTACACTGTAATATTTTGTATCATATCATAAATACATCAGTGAAACAATCGTCAGCACCAATTTTTTTTCAATATTTATAATAAATATATATTAAATACAAGCATCATAATGTTTTGTAGAAAAATTATTGAAAAAAGCATTGCATTCTATTAACTCTAATTTAGTATATATTCAGATTTTAGTCGTAAAAAACTTAGGTTTCTTTGCTTCCATCAGGTTTATTTTATCATTATCTTGGATAAACCCACATAATCTACAAAAATATAACAGATAGATTCGAAAAGAAATCAGTAAAAACCTGTTTTTTCTAATGATTTTGTCTTATTTTTCAATTTCAAGTAATTTTTTTAAATAAAAAGTTTTTTTTTTTAAATAAAATATTATTTTGTTTCTTACTATTTCCATATATAAAAAGTTCATTTACTCTTCTTCTTTTTTTGTGAATCTTTTTTTTTCTTCCTAATTTGAAAAGTTTAAAAATTGCAGTAGCCTCAGGCAAGAGGGAGTAATTATAAAAAAAAAACCTTTGATAGGATGAAAGGAGTTCAATACTTTTTAAATTGCTTTTGTGTTGGTAATTCAAATTTAATCAAACAAACTTTTTAAATAAAAAAAACATATAGCGTATTAAAAAGTTTTTTCCTTTTTAGAATAAATAGTTCAAGTAAATTTAAAAAAGTTCTTTCGTTTTTAGAATAAATAGTTCAAATAGATTTAATAATAAATTGTATACCTTATTTTTAAAAAGTTTTTAATTGAAAATATAAAACTAAAAATTTAAATAGTTTTTAAAAACTATTAGAGGTCAATAATTCTTTGTTGTTTTTTTTACAGTTTTTTAAATATGCTTATTAATAAAATTCTTATACTGATCATTTAAACATATTGAGTTTTTTTAAAAAGAATTGTTAAAACATTACAAAAAAACCCTACAATAACAAACTTTTTAATCTTAAAGTCTCTCACAAAAATGTAATAGTGAATAAACATTAAGTAATACTTATAAAAGAGATATTTTATTTTAAATTGGGTAGCTTTTATAAATACACCAATTATTTTAACTGCTAACACGTTAATAAAGTTTTCAAATTAGCCTTTCAATTGTTCATGTAAATGTTGAAAGCAAATGGTTTATGGGTATATGTATATACCCATGTGTATACTACTATGTACTAATTGCTACTATGTACTAATTGCTAAATTTATAAATAAATGCTACTATGTACTAATTGCTAAATTTATCAATAGATCCTCAAATAAATTTAATTAATTTTTTTTAAAATGCAATTTATTAATTGAAATTTGATCAAACATGAATCCTTTTTTTAAAATATCAAAATTAACCACTATACCAAAAAGAAATAAAAAATAAAAATAAAAAATAACACCATTTAAAAATACAGGCTAAAAATATTTAATGGAAACATACAACATTGTGTAATGTGACAATGTCTAATTTTTTACAATTAATTTAATGCTCAAATCAAAGAGATATCAAACTCAAATAACTTTTTTCTAAAGAAGAAAACCAAATCCAATAAATATTTTATAAAAAAAATTCATGAAAAAAAATACATCTTACCAGAGTTATAGGAACAGATTTTTTTGGAATTCTAAACACTTCCTAAAAAATAAAAACTATAGATAAATTTGTTTTAAATGTAGTTTACATGGCATCAAAAAAAATGTATTGTTTGTCATTATATAAATATATTGTATATGTCATAAATGTCATATATAATGTGTTGTATATGTCATAAATGCCATATATAATGTGTTGTATATGTCATATATAATGTCATATTGATCAAAAAGTAAAAAGAATTTCTAAAGAATAGAAAAAACTTGACATGGTATTTATCTTTTTATAATATAAACACAACTTTCCATTTGATTTTGAACAAAACAACAGAACAAAAACTTTAAAAATAAAAATCATTATTTTAATTTGATTAGCTTCATTTTCTTTATAACTAAAGATAAATCATTATTGCATTTCAATTTGATTAGCTATCAGCTTCATTTTCTTTATAACTAAAATGCTTTTATTGAAAACAATAACAATATAATAAACATGTTCAGCTAAATCTTTATAACTTTGCTACAAAATTTGATGAAACATTAGAAATATAGTGTTGACTAACTTTTCAAACAACCTTAGATGTTTCTATAGTAACAATATTTATATTAACATGTTCACTTAAAAACTTATATACCAACATTTTGCAAATACTAAAAATATAAAAAGAATTTCTAAATTTTTTTAAATTCATTTTCACTCAAGAAAACTTATAAATTTTTAAAATTCTTTATTTGCATTTTAACTATGCTAAATTAAACAAATCAGCTAACCTTGAATGAATTATCAATCCAAGGAAACAAGGAGAGATGAAACAGGTCAATTCTTTTTGTCATATATGATCCCATTTTACTTTTACTCTATATTTTTATAAACAATAATCTTCAATGTGCGATAAACAAATAGGAATTTGTTTTTCGAAAATTTTCCCAACCAATTGCATTTTTCCATGCAGCTGCAAATATTAAATCCATTATTGAATCAAATATTGAATCATTATGAAATTTATTTACACTTTAAAATTCAAACTTTTTTTTTTTAATTTAAAAAAAAAGAAGTTCAATTTCAAATAATTTAAATAATAATGAGCTTTTAATCAGCAAATCAACATTTAGGCTCAAAGTATATTTATAAATATTTTAATCAGCAAATCAACATTTAGGCTCAAAGTATATTTATAAATATTTTAATCAGCAAATCAACATTTAGGCTCAAAGTATATTTATAAATATTTTAATCAGCAAATCAACATTTAGGCTCAAAGTATATTTATAAATATTTTAATCAGCAAATCAACATTTAGGCTCAAAGTATATTTATAAATATTTTAAAATATTTTATTACTTTTGCATGACTAAAACAACATTTTGTTCATTACCTAATTTTAAAAAGATTTTAAAAATTACTTATTTTAAAGAGCATGTAATAACTTTTGACAAAAAAAATTGCCATAGGAGCAATGAAGTTTACATACATTGAATGATAAAACCATTAACATTTTATTTAAGTTCATTTACTGCTTTTTATACTCTTAGTTTTTTTCCATAGATTAAATCAAATTTTCTGAACAACTTGTTTGTTACTT